GGAGGGAGAAGGAGAGGGGGGGTGAAGAGGTTGGGTGGTGAGGATGTTGTTGTGTTAGTTGATTTGTAGAGGATGGATAGATGGGTTGGGGATGGTACTATATATGAGTGGAAGGGGAAGGGGAAGGGGAAGTGAGGAGGGGTGAATGTTGGTTCTTATAATAGGTGAAAAGTGAGGTTTTGGTTTTGTGGTAGGGATGGAGTATGTGAGTATAAGGAATGTATATAGGATGATGGTGGTTATGTGAAAGTACTTGAGTAAAGGTGGGTATTCCTTCGGTGGTTAGTTGGTGGATATTCTTTGGTGGATATTCTTTGGTGGATATTCTTTAGTGGTTGGTGTGTAATGTAGGGTTGTTTTTGTGGGTTTGTGTGAGTTTATTGGGAGGGGAGGGAGAGGTGAAAGGGACTTGGTAGGCGATTCTATAAAGGTTGGGTATGGTGGGTAGAAGTTTGGAGGACTAGGGGTGTAATGTTTTGATGAAGTGGCGATGAGGGTTTAATGTAAATAGGTGAGTGAGTTTTTGTCTTGAGATAAGAAGAGAGTCAAGTACAGCTACAACGAAATTTTATATATCGCACGCTCTTCCCAACTCGTGAATCTTAATTAAAGTTTTGTTGTTGAATGGTTCATCCCTTTCCCTCGCTTAACGTTTGGCGATAGCAACGGTGGCGTAGGCTACGCATTCTTCCCCGAGTTGAGCGAACAATGGATTGTTTCACGTGCTGGAATGGGGGTGTTGCTATGGTCGTTTTTGTTTTGTTTGCTACGAGGAAGTTGATGCTATATATATTTTGGTTTCCCTGCTTTTTTTCGGTTACAGACTTTGCTTGAGATTTCTTTTCCTCATCCCACATCCCTTTTTGACGAATAGTCTTTAGCATCACATACGAACCCTCCTTCACCATGCTCCTCGAAAGGAAACATGTTCTTCTCACACTCCTCCCACTATCCCCCCCTTTCCTTGGTGTGCAAGCAGGTTTGATCCAGCCGAATTCTCGAATGGTGGATCTGACGGACCCCTCGAAGTTGGTGCAGATTCCGGGCTTGCAAGGCCTCGAAAGGTACGTATGTCCCCAAAGAACTAACACGTATTTGACTCGACGAGCGGATGAGCAGATCCCGGCGGGTGCGCTGGCTCTTGGGACTCCTGCTGCTCACCCTGCTGCGCAGGTTCCGAGGGAGAAGTTGGAGTCGTTGTTGGAGAGGCAGATGGGGGAGTTGAATGCGCAGGGGGGAGGGGAGGTGACGGCGAGTGGGAGTGGGAGTGTGGATGCTGGGAGCACCGCAGGGAGGGAGGGGGATCGGGGAGAGGATGTGGATAANGGAGGGGAGGTGACGGCGAGTGGGAGTGGGAGTGTGGATGCTGGGAGCACCGCAGGGAGGGAGGGGGATCGGGGAGAGGATGTGGATAAGGATGTGGATGTGGATGCTGGGAGCACCGCAAGGATTCCGGAGGAGACGGTTGGTGGTGAGAAGGAGGTTACTGACTATATCTCGACGAATCTCAATGCGCCGGATATTGTGAAAAGTCCAGGTGAAAGCGTGGTTGCCGGTGGCACCACGAGTCCACTCCCTCTTGCAGTCGACAGTGGGAATGAGGTCGAGGATGAAAACGCAAGTATTACCCCTCCTAACGACGAAGAACCAGAACCAGAACCAGAAACCCCAATCACCCCAATGAAAGCAGGACCCTCTTCAGAGCCCAGGCTCTCAGGCGTAGGAAGACCGAACGTCCTCCCCCTCCCCCTGTCAAATACAACAACAACAATCTCATCACTTCCCAACAACAACAGCACAACAAACTACAAATTCAACCCCCTCTCCCACTCCAACATCGCCGTCTACTTCGGCCAAACCCTCCACTCCTCCTCCACACCCCTCTTCACCCTCTGCGCATCCCCCGACATCGACATCGTCGTCCTAGCATTCATCACCTCCCGCACCTCAGGCTCGAGTCTCTATCCCACCCTCAACCTCGCAGGCACGTGTACGACCCAAACGCCCCTGATGATGGAGAAAGCTCCGGGGTTACTCTCGTGTCCGGAGCTGGCTGATGAGATTAAAACTTGTCAGGAGGTGCATGGGAAGAAGGTGTTGCCTACTATTGGGGGGGGGGGGGNTGGATCTGACGGACCCCTCGAAGTTGGTGCAGATTCCGGGCTTGCAAGGCCTCGAAAGGTACGTATGTCCCCAAAGAACTAACACGTATTTGACTCGACGAGCGGATGAGCAGATCCCGGCGGGTGCGCTGGCTCTTGGGACTCCTGCTGCTCACCCTGCTGCGCAGGTTCCGAGGGAGAAGTTGGAGTCGTTGTTGGAGAGGCAGATGGGGGAGTTGAATGCGCAGGGGGGAGGGGAGGTGACGGCGAGTGGGAGTGGGAGTGTGGATGCTGGGAGCACCGCAGGGAGGGAGGGGGATCGGGGAGAGGATGTGGATAAGGATGTGGATGTGGATGCTGGGAGCACCGCAAGGATTCCGGAGGAGACGGTTGGTGGTGAGAAGGAGGTTACTGACTATATCTCGACGAATCTCAATGCGCCGGATATTGTGAAAAGTCCAGGTGAAAGCGTGGTTGCCGGTGGCACCACGAGTCCACTCCCTCTTGCAGTCGACAGTGGGAATGAGGTCGAGGATGAAAACGCAAGTATTACCCCTCCTAACGACGAAGAACCAGAACCAGAACCAGAAACCCCAATCACCCCAATGAAAGCAGGACCCTCTTCAGAGCCCAGGCTCTCAGGCGTAGGAAGACCGAACGTCCTCCCCCTCCCCCTGTCAAATACAACAACAACAATCTCATCACTTCCCAACAACAACAGCACAACAAACTACAAATTCAACCCCCTCTCCCACTCCAACATCGCCGTCTACTTCGGCCAAACCCTCCACTCCTCCTCCACACCCCTCTTCACCCTCTGCGCATCCCCCGACATCGACATCGTCGTCCTAGCATTCATCACCTCCCGCACCTCAGGCTCGAGTCTCTATCCCACCCTCAACCTCGCAGGCACGTGTACGACCCAAACGCCCCTGATGATGGAGAAAGCTCCGGGGTTACTCTCGTGTCCGGAGCTGGCTGATGAGATTAAAACTTGTCAGGAGGTGCATGGGAAGAAGGTGTTGCCTACTATTGGGGGGGGGGGCGACGGCGGGGGTGAGTTTTGAAAGTGAGGAGCAGGCGAGGGAGCTTGGGGATGTGCTTTGGGGGGGTTTTGGGCCGGAGGGGAGGGTGGAGGGGTGGTTGAGGCCGTTTGGGGGGGTGAGTATTGATGGGTTTGATTTTGGTGTGTATCCCTCTTTTCCCCCTTTTTGAAAATTTAGCGAGCGTTAAGGAAGGTCTAACGAAGAAAACAAATAGACAACGAAAATAAACTCCCCACCCACTACGAAATCCTAGCAACCTCCCTCCGCGCCCACTTCACAAACCACACCCCCTCCTCCCCCATCTCACGCTGTCAATCCACCAAAGAATTCTACCTCTCCTCCGCACCCCAATGTCCCTTCCCAGATGCATCCAATCCCCTCCCCATGTTACTAGCCTGCGACTTCGTCTTCGTGCAGTTCTACAACAACCCTCCGTGCGAGATTGGCGCTACAGGATTTCTGGATAGTGTCAAGCAGTGGAGTGAGGCACTCGCGAAGAGCGAGCGTGAGGTGAAGCCGCGTCTTTATATTGGGGCGCCGGGCTGGAGTGAGGCGGGTCCGAGTGCGTATGCGAAGGGGATTGGGGGGCCGAAGGGGGTGGGGGAGGTGGTTGGGAGTGTGTT